CAACAACAACAACAACAACAACAACACCAACAACAACAATTGCTTGCGCGATTGGCAAGGGAAACGACAGATTACGTGCCATCAGCGCCATCGGCACAGGCTTTGATTGCTCCTCACGCTCCGGTGCCACACCAGCAGCTACACTACTCTCCACAGCAGCCTGGTCATGCTTCTCCCCACCTTTCACTGCATTCCGCACCGCCACACCTGCACCCACACTCACACCCTCATTCACACCAGCCTCAACCTGGCATGCAAGCCTGGCACGCGACACACGCGCACGCGCATCAGCCCCATCCCCACCCGCAGGCGCCAACACATGTACAGCACCCTGCACACGCACACCAGACAGCGCAGCCAAACGCGCCGCGCATTCCGCTGTACGCGTTTCAGCAACCTCAAGTCCACTTCTACCCACAGCATCCACACCATCACTATCACTCTGGCCGATGGCATCACTTTTCCTCGCATCCACGATAATGCTTGATGCGCCTGCTCCATGATAGTGACCGTTGTGATTGTGGTGACTGACCGCAACACACGTTGTCGCATCTCCTCCTTTCATTGTGTTATTTATGGACACCTCACTGATTCGATGCACGAGTAAATGAAGATAATTCGTGGTCAGCTCACACAGTTCTTCCTCACAAATTATCATGTACACGAAAAAAAAAATTCAAACAACGCTGCATACCACACCCTTCTTCAACTGGCCAATCACAGAACAGATTGCCGCCCAGCTAGCTTGATTGCTTGGCTTGGCTTCTTGGCTTGACCCCACCTTTCGTTTGTTTTACCCCACGCCCTACGACCCACATCTCACTGGTCGTTGCTTCTTGCTGGTGTGTCGTTGCTTCCTTCTGCTGACATCACATCGACAGCAGGTAAGCAAGTCGTGGCAGATGGCATTGGCAGGTTCCTCATTGATGACGCCATTGTTTTTCAGTTTACCCCTGCGCCACATCTGCAAACTACACCTTTGATGTGCACGCACACACACTCACACACTTATACTCACACACACACACACACACACACACACTCTCTCTCTCTCTCTCTCTCATTCTTTCCTGCGTTTGCGCTTTACCATCGACCGCCCAAGGTGTGGACGTTCGTTCGCCCTTCCTTCACCCCGTTCTTCTTTCGTCCTTCTTCTTCTGACACAACTCCGACGTGGTCACGCTTTGCCTGCACATTCGCAGCCCAGACAACCACCGTCATGGCGCTACGCCTGGCTCGTGCGGGTCTTTTCCTGCTCGCAGCAGCAGCGCTCTTCTTCATCAGCCCATTAGGTACAACCACATCAAACACAAACACACACACACGCACACATACATGAACGCGTACACACGAGATTTGCTCGTTGTGGCGTTACCTGTTGGAAGGGTGTGTGGTTGATGTTGCATGTGACATCTTTCACGTACCGATCAAGTCTCGGCTCAGGGGCGCAGTAGCAACAACACTTCCACCAACAACACCAACACCCACAAGACCAAATGCCGTCAATCCCAAGCCACGCCAGCGGTTGCCATTTCTCACCGCTTGCTCTTGCTGCTCTCATTGCTTTCATCCTCCCCCCCCCAATATGTTGTGACAGGCGCAGAGGCAGCCTGCCCTTGCCAGAACGGCGGCACCTGTGTTGGTGACACATGCTCATGCGTGCCAGGGTTCTCTGGCGACTCGTGTGAGACGCTCGAGGATTGCTACCTGGTACAAGCGCACCTGTACCAGCAGCTTGGAACGCTGGTGAACCCGTGCTTGAATGGCGGCGTGTGTCAGCCGTCAGGAGAGTGTTTGTGCCCCGTCACGGCATCGGGCTCCTTCTGCGAAAACATCGTCGATCCGTGCGCGGGCGATGCCAACCCGTGCCTGAACGGCGCAACCTGTGCTGTTGACAACGGCGCAGTCGTGTGCAACTGTGCGCCCGGCTTTGAAGGCAGCACGTGCAGCGAAGTTGTGCAGCCGTGCGTGCCAGATCCATGCCAGAACGGCGCCGCGTGCGTGCAGACGGGCCCAGAATCGTATATGTGTGAGTGCACCATTGGCTGGGGTGGCGACGACTGCTCTCTGGCCGTGGACCCTTGCACCTTTGACCCCTGCAACAACGGTGGCGAGTGCACTTCATCCGGTGCCGACTACTCATGCACGTGTGCCCCGGGCTTTGTCGGCCCAACCTGCGACATCGGTGCGTTGCTTGTTGTGTTGTGGTGGTTTGGTGTGCAACGTGTTCGTGTGATGTGATTGTGTGATGCACCTGCTGTGCCCGCGATTTTACCGAGAGGGTACGAGCGTTCGTGAGGGTGGGTATGCTGTGCACACACGACGAGCACCTGCACGAACTACACGGGTTGCATGGTTTGGTGTGCAAGGGGTTGGCTCTATGCTGCTTGAAGTGTACATGTGGGTGCGTTGATTGTCTGTGCATCACCATCAACACCATCAACACGAGATCGATGCCCATGAACTTGACCGTTTCCATTTGTTGTTTGAACACACCCTCTGTATCTGTTCTGCATCGCTCTCAACTCATACAGAGTGCACGGATAGTGGTTGCGCCGAGTGCCTGACAACAGACCCGTCCGTGTGCACGCTGTGCCAGGCGCCACTGTATTTGCACGACAACGTGTGTCTTGACACGTGTCCCTCGGGCCTCGTCACTGATCCGTACTCGAGCGTTCCCAGCGACAGCACAGAGATCGGACCACGTGTTTGCGGCGGTGAGCGACTCAGATGTGGAAGGGATTGGGTGTGTGTGTGTGTTGGAGCGGGGGTGGGAGAGACAAGGGGGAAGGCAAGAGTACGAAACAGTGCATGCGCTGTCCAATACGTATGCATGTGCGTGTGCGTGTGCGTGTGCGTGTGCGTGTGCGTGTGCGTGTGCGTGTGCGTGTGCGTGTGCGTGTGCGTGTGCGTGTGCGTGTGCGTGTGCGTGTGCGTGTGCGTGTGCGTGTGCGTGTGCGTGTACGTGTGTGTGTGCGTGTGCGTGTACGTGTGTGTGTGTCGAAAACGAAGACCATTGCAACAGGCCTCACCCACTCGATTTCACATGACATCCATCACCGCTCACGCTGCCACCATTATCCACGACACCCATCATCACCAACACCAAGAGTGGACTGGCGTGCCCAAGCTGGAGGGCGCGTTGTTTCACACGAGCGTCACGCCTGCGGAGGTGTGCCGTCGGCTCGGGCTGTCCTGGAGTGACGAGCTCTCGCTTGCCGCGCCCACAACCGGCCGGTCCACGGTGTGCAGCATCTGGTACCCAGGTGCAGAGCTGGTGGAGTTTTCGCCGTGCGACAGCGAGCCCCACCTGGCCAGCATCACCTGCTCCGCGCTGTGCGGGCTGAACTGCGACGTGTGCCAGGACTCGTCCACGTGTGACGTGTGCGAGGCTGGCTACTTTGTCAGTGCTTCTGGTACCTGCGTGCCTTCCTCAGAGTGTGGCAGTGGCTTCTACGCCGACACGACCACGGGCAACTGCCAGCGTGAGTTCTAGTGTTGACAAAACGAGGGGACTGACAGTCTCGAACAGTATGCCTGACTTGTCATGACGATGGTCTTCACGCATGCAGACACACATGCGCACCCACATCACTCGCAACCATGCACATAATGTGCGCAATGCACACACACACACACACACACACACACACACACACACACACACACACACATACACACACACGCACACACACACACACATACACACACGCGCGCGCGCGCGCAAAATGCACGCAATACACACATGCGCTTGATGCTGCTTGCTCGCCTTTCTTCCTCACCACTCCATGCCCCCATTCCCTTTCCCCCTCATTTACAGCCTGCCAGGAGTGCGCGAGTGGATCGTATGCCACCGCCACATGTACAGAGTTTGCCGACACCGTGTGCGAGGACTGGACTGTGTGCAGCGAAAACCAGATTGTGTTTATTGCGGGCTCGTCGACGCGTGACGTGGTGTGCCGCACATGCAGCACGTGCGGTGCCAACCAGTATGTGAGCCGTCGTTGCTTCGTGCAGACCGTCAACAATTTACCCGTGTTCCGTGACACCGCATGCAGCACATGCACGACCTGCGATGCCGGCGAGTTTGTGGAGCAGGCGTGCACCGCCACCACCGACACCGTCTGTGGCGTGTGCTCCACCTGCCCAACTGGGTTCTACGTCAGCACACCCTGCACGTCCGCCCAGGACACCGTGTGCAGTGCAATCACCGCCTGTGCCGCTGGGGAGTACATCAGCAAGGCAGCGACACCCAACGCCGACCAGCAGTGCTCCCCCATCACTGAATGTGTTGCTGGGGAGGAGTATCTTGCCACGCCGGCCACCGCCACCTCCGACAACGTGTGCCGCCCCATCACCGAGTGCGGCGCAAACCAATATGAGCTCCATGCTCCCACAGAGACAAGCGACCGTGTGTGCACGGCGTGCAGCACGTGCCCCACCAACGAGCACATCGTGTTGGCTTGCGGAGGCACGCAGGACACGCAGTGCAGTGGCTGCAGCACCTGCACGCCCGGCGAGACGTTCATCCAGCAGCCGTGCACCGTCTTCTCGGACACCGTGTGTGCACCGTGCAGCGAGTGCGCAGCTGGCACGTTCCTCGTCGCCACTTGCGCCGGCCCAGATGACACCGTGTGTGGACCGTGCACGCCTTGCTCCAGCACACAGTACCAGGTGGAGGCGTGCACCAGCACCCGCAACACCCAGTGCGCTGCGCTGACGGTGTGCTCCTCGACAGAGTACGAGTCGGTCGCTGCAACGGCTACCACAGACCGCACGTGCGTGGCCGTGTCGACGTGCGGCACCAACGAGTACCAGAGCAAGGCGCCCACGACGACCACCGACCGTCAATGCAGCGCCGTGACCACGTGCACGGAAGACGAATTTGAGCGCTACCCGCCCTCGCGCGTCACGGACCGCGTGTGCGCCGCGCTGACCGTGTGCCACGCTGAGCTGCAATATGAGCTGGTGGCACCAACCACCACCTCCGACCGCGTGTGCCGTCGCCTGACCACGTGCAGCCTGGACGAGGGCACGTACGAGCTTTTCGCGCCCACGGCAACCACAGACCGCGTGTGTGCACCCGTGCGCGAGTGTGAGGAGGGCGCCGAGTATGAGGCCACCGCGCCCACGCCCACCTCCAACCGCGTGTGCCAGCCGCTCTCGCCATGCCCGGAGCAGCTGACATACGAGGCTGTTGCAGCAACCCCAACCTCGGACCGCACGTGCCTGGCGGACAAGTACTGCAGCTTCAGCGCCGAGCTGACCAACTTTGCTGGCGACGGCAGCGGCCGCGTCTTCGCCACATTCACCGACCCCACGGCCCACCTTGACCTGCAGATTGTGTCTGACGCCAAGGCGTGCGCAGACCAGTGCTTCCTGCGCAGCAGCTGCAAGGGGTTTGTTCTGGCACTGGAGACGGTGACGACGACAACGTCCGCGTCCACCGCACTCACCTGCACGCTGCTTTCGCGCCTGGGCGACGCCCACGGCGTGACAACCGGCCTGGTGACGGCGTCCTATGCCCGCGTGGCCGTGCAGGAGTACGAGGTGCAGTCGCCGACGACCAGCACGCCACGGCAGTGTGCTGCCGTCACGCAGTGCAGCCCGGAGGTGGAGTTTGAGATTCTTGCGCCAACAGCGACAACAGACCGCGAGTGCAGCGCGCTGACGCAGTGCGAAGCCGCGGCGGAGTACGAGACAGTGGCCCCAACAGCCACGTCCGACCGCGAATGTGTTGCGCTCAGCACGTGTAACGAGGAGCTGGAGTACGAGGCAACGCCGCCCACGGCCACCACAGACCGCGTGTGCGAGCTGTTTACAAGCTGCCTTGCCACGGAATACGCGGTTGTGCTTGCGTCACCCACCAACGATCGCGTGTGCGAAGCGCTGACAACTTGCAACTTTGCCCAGCAGTACGAGACAGTGGCACCCACCTTCAGCAGCGACCGAGAGTGCACGGCCCTGAGCGTGTGCTCTGGTGCCGAGTACGAGCTGCAGCCGCCCTCTGTCACGCAGGACCGCGTGTGCGAGGCCGTGTCCATGTGCACGAGCACCGAATATGAGGCGCGTGCGCCCACGGAGAGCAGCGACCGCGTGTGTCTGGCGCTGACGGAGTGCCTGGCGGGCGTGCAGTTTGAGCTGCAGCCGCCAACGGCGACGACGGATCGCGTTTGCACCACATACACGGCGTGCCGCCCCCTGACAGAGTTTGAGTCTCGCGCGCCCACAACCACCACAGACCGCGTGTGCAGCCCTTTTACCGTGTGCGATCCCGCTGCCCAGTACCAGTCTGTGCCGGGCACGGCCACCTCCAACCGGGTGTGCACGGCGCTGACGCAGTGCGAGCTTGGCATCACCTTTGAGACGCAGGCGCCCACGCCCACCATGGATCGCGTGTGCTCTGCGTGCTCGACATGCGATGCTGGCGCGGGCGAGGTCATCACTGGGGAGTGCTCGCTCACCGCAGACACGGCGTGCATGGCGTGCCCGTGCCAAAACGGCGTGCAGTGCACACAGCTCAACCCTGTGGGCTACAAGTGCGAGTGTCCAGCCGGCCTGAGCGGTGAGTTCTGTGAGATTAACGCGGACGACTGCGCCTCATCGCCGTGTCAGAACGGAGCAACCTGCGTTGACCTGATCAACGGGTACGAGTGCAACTGCTTCCCTGGCTGGAGCGGCGAGACATGCACGGTACTCGCAAACTGCAACGCATACCGCTTCGAGGTGCTTGCGCGCACGGGCCTGCGCATCAACCCGTGTGCACCGGGCACGTGCGACGCGGATGACACGTGCTCTTGCCCATCTGGCTTCACGGGCAGCTACTGCGAGGTGAACATTGACGACTGCGAGAGCCACGCATGCGAGAACGGCGGCACATGCGTCGACGGGGTCAACTCGTACACGTGCAGGTGTCCCGTTGGCACCTACGGTGACCTGTGTGAGTTCAACGAGGACGACTGCTTCGATGGCGCGTGCCAGAACGGCGGCACCTGTGTGGACGGCATCAACTCTTACACGTGCGACTGCCCACCAGGGTTTGTCGGCGAGACGTGTACGGAGGAGACCATCGAATGCAGCCCAAACCCGTGCGAGAACGGCGGGACTTGCATCGAAGGGCAAGCCACCTTCACCTGCGACTGTCCGTCAGGGTTTGGTGGCCCAACGTGCGCAGACATCTGCCCACAGGACTGCGTGTCCTGCTCTTCCGCAGACGTGTGCACGATGTGCACCAACTACAAGTATCTTGATGCTGGTGAGTGCCGCGACTCGTGCGCGGCATCTTCATCGCTTGCGGACGTGTACGGTGCTGTTGAGTACAGGAGTGGCTCCTCGGCTGCCACTGCCCACGAGACGGGCCGGGTGTGCGGCGCGTGGACGGGCCAGCCCGTGCTGGACGGCTACCTCTTCCATCGCACGTGGACTGTAAATGCGCTGTGCGAGGCCATTGGTCTCGCACCACCGACAGACGCCCTGGTCGCAGCGACAGAGACCCTGATCAGCTACGACCGCATGGGCGTGTGTCGCATCTGGTACCCGAGCCAAGGCCTGGTCACCCTGGTACAGCAGCCGCCTTGCGACGACAGCGAGCCGTACGTGAGCGAGGTGACATGTAGCGCCCTGTGCGTGGACACGGGCTGCGGCGCGTGTGACCTCAGTGGTCGCTGCACGAGCTGCGTGTACCCGCAGCTGCTCAAGGATGGCGCCTGTGTTTCAGAGAGCGAGTGCGGTGTTGGCTTCTTCGCCCACGTGGCTGAGGACGGCTCTGGCGTGTGTGAGGCGTGCACGGTGTGCGGCGCAGACGAGTACGAGACGACGCCCTGCAGCTTGGATGGCAATCGCGAGTGCGCTCCGCTCACGGCTTGCGACGCCTTTGGCGAGTTCTTCGTGCTGACGGCTGCCACGGCCACGACGGACCGCGTGTGCAAGGCGTGCACGGTCTGCGACAGCGACGCATTTGCCAGTGGCGGCTGCCAGGGCGAGCAGGACACGCTGTGCCAGCCCCTGACGCGCTGCTCCCAGGACCAGTACGAGGCCGTTGCTGCGACGCCAACGAGCGATCGCGTGTGCATGGACATCAGCAAGTGTGCAGCTGAGGCGGGCGAGTACGAGTTTGCGGCGCCAACGGCAACAACAGACCGCATTTGCTGTGCAGATGGCACGACGGGCCCGCAGTGCAGCGAGCCGTCCTCGGATTGCTGCATGAACGGTGGAACGTGCGTGCAGGATGCGCTTGGCACCGGGCGGGAGTGTGTGTGCATTCCCGGGTACGCCGGTGTCTCGTGCGAAGTTCTCCAGGACTGTCTCATGGTGGTGGGCTACTTTGCGTCGGAGACAGGTTCGCGCCTGGATCCGTGCGAGAACGGCGGCATGTGTCAGTACGACGTGGCAGAGCAGCGCGGTGTGTGCCAGTGCCAACCCGGGTTTGCCGGCGACGCCTGCGAGGAGAGCGCATTCATGGCTGGTGACGTGATCCCTGGCTACGAGCTTGTGCACGTTGGTGGTAATGGTGGGCGTCGTTTCACCACCGCCTTTGACGCGGCCAGCACCATCCTGGTCCTGCACAACGTGCTTGAGGCCACCTGTGTGCTTGAGTGCAACACGCAGGAGGCGTGCGAGGGCATTTTCTTCTGGCAGCGGTCGGCGACGGAGCTTCGCTGCTACCTCCTGAGCGACACTGGCTCGTCTGCTGGGGTCGTGACCTCCACAGACTCGTTCAGCTACGCCAAGGTGCACACGACGACGACCACAACCACGACCACCACGACCACCACGACCACGACCACGACGACGACCACGACGACGACCACGACGGACGCATTTGACTTTCCATTTTCAGACAATGGCTACGACGTTGTGTTTGCTGGGGTGCAGGGCACAAGCAGCGATGGGCCCCGCCGGTTTTCGACCGCCTTCCAGAGCCAATACGAGCTTGCGGTGCTGGACGTTGATGCGGCCATTGAGTGCCTGCAAGAGTGCGATGCACTGGATGCGTGCGCTGGTGTGTTCCTGAGGGAGGCGACAACGACCATGCGATGCCACCTGCTGTCAGACCTTGGCGCAGAAGCGGGCATTGCCACGTCCACGACGTCTCTTTCGCTGCGCAAGCTGCTGGACACAACCACAACCACGACGACGACGACGACAACAACGACGACAACAACGACAACAACGACAACCACCACGACGACGACGACCACGGATGTGCTCGGGTTTGCGTTTGAGGACAACGGCTACGTTGTTGTGTTTGAAGGTGTGCAGGGCATGAGTGGTTCCCCGAGGCGCTTCAGCTCTGCATTTGTGCCCTCCTTGGAGTTGGCTGTGGTGAGCACAACACAGGCGCGCACATGCGTCAATCTGTGTGATGCTGATGACAGGTGTTTGGCTCTCTTCATCTTTGAGCGGTCGTCAGACTACCAGTGCCGGTTGCTTGCTGAGTTTGGGACCGAAACGGGCACTGCCACCTCCACAACGTCGCTGTCTCTCGTGAAGCTGCCAAAGACGACCACCACCACATCTACGACAACTACAACAACCACAACGACCACAACTACAACATCAACCACGACGACCACGAGCAGCACCACGACGACAACAACAGCGACGACAACGACCACGAGCAGCACCACAGCCATCTTTGAGTATCCATTCGATGAGAGCGAGTATGAGGTTGTGTTCAGAGGTGTGTCTGCCTTCAACGCCGGTGCTCCCGTGCGCTTCTCGACTGCATTCGACGCACGGTTTGAGCTGCAGGTCATTTCCGTGGTGAGTGTTGCAGAGTGCCTGCAGGCATGCCACGACAGCAACACCTGCCTCGGCGTGTTTTTGCGAGAGACAACAACCACGTTGCGGTGTCATCTGCTTTCCAACTTGGGCACGCCTGAAGGTCTCCCAACGTCCACCGCATCCCTCTCCCTGAGAAAGCTCATGCTAACAACATCAACAACGACGACGACGACCACTTCAACGACGACTGAAGAAGCAATGTCATCTACAACCACGACGACCACGACGACCACTTCAACCACGACGACCACGACGACCACTTCAACAACGACGACAACGACAACCACTTCAACCACGACGACCACGACGACCACTTCAACAACGACGACAACGACGACAACCGCGACCACGACCACTACCACGACCACAACCACTACTAGCACCACAACCACAACCACAACCACCACCACGACTACAACGACCACTACTCGCACCACAACGACTACCACTACAACCATGATTAGCACGACAACAACACATGTGCTGCAGTTTGATACGACAGGTTATGATGTGGTCTTCGTCGGCACACAAGGAGGAGTGTCTTCTCCTCGCCGATTCAGCACCGCATTTGACTCGACATTCAGGCTCCCACTGACAGCCCCAGTGACGACGGGGGCAGAGTGCCTGCAGGCATGTGAGGCGGAGGCTGCATGCGTTGGTGCATTCATCTGGACACCTGATGTCAACATTCGCTGCTATCTTTTGACAGACCTGGGCACAGAGGCGGGCATTGCCACCTCCACCGCCTCCGTCTCCCTGCGGAAACTCGCCGCTTCCACGACAACGACAACAACATCCACAACGACCACCACGACAGCAACGACAACGACGACGACCACCACAGCAACGACAACGAGCACAACAACAACGAGCACAACAACAACGAGCACAACCACAACTACTTCAACCACAACTACTTCAACCACAACTACTTCAACCACAACTACTTCAACCACAACTACTTCAACCACAACTACTTCAACCACAACTACTTCAACCACAACTACTTCAACCACAACTACTTCAACCACAACTACTTCAACCACAACTACTTCAACCACAACTACTTCAACCACTTTAACGACTACAACCACCAGCACCAGCACTACCAGCACCAGCACTACCAGCACCAGCACTACCAGCACCACAACAACCAGCACCACAACAACAACCAGCACCACAACAACCAGCACAACCACAACCAGCACAACCACAACCAGCACCACAACAACCAGCACAACCACAACCACCACAACCACAACCACAACAACAACCACCACGACGACCACCACCACGACCACCACAACCACAACCACAACCACAACTACTACAACAACCACAGCAACCATCTCCATTGATGTGCCAAACACCGCACCTGATTTCAGCGAGACAGAGGCCACAACAACGCTGACCATCGATGCATCCTATGACACAGTAGACCTTGCCCAGCTGCAGTCTGATGTGCTTGAGAGCTTGGCCACCACCGGTGTCAGCTCAGATGACGTGGCCTTTGTTCACTTCTACCCAGGCAGCATCAACATCCTTGTTGGCTTCCGCACGCAGGCCGCATACACAACGCTGACGGCGGCGCTGGCCACCGGTCCTCTTCCCGTCGGCAACGCCACTGTCTCCCTGCTCACGACAAGCATGCAGCCTTACGTGTCGTCGAATGACGCTTTTGTCGCATACAAGACCAGCACGAGCGAGCCAGGCTTCAACCTTGTCGCCCTTGACAACCTCAAGCCCGGCCTCAAGGTTGCGGTCACCAGCGCAGTGGGGCCGCTCAGCGTGGACATGGAAGTGACAACACCGCGCCTATCACCAACCACATTCAAGGCGGTTGTCCTGCCGGCGTCCGGCAATGTCTGGTTCAACGACCCCACCGTCTCTGTCTTTATTCGCTTTGAGGATGAGCGCGGCAGCGCACTTGTGGCGGAGGGGTCAACAGCCATTGTGACCGTGTCGCCACCAGCATCCTTGGGAGCAGCAGCATCACCCCTCACCACGGTGTGTGTGTCAAAGCTGGACGAGCAAGAGGGTGCGGTGTGCACGGCAACGGTCACCCTGCCCTCGTCATGGTTCTCCTACGAGCAAGATGAGGATGTGAGAGTGACGGCCGCGCTGCTGAGCGACATCAGCAGCACCTCCACTGTGATTGCCGACCTGACACTCAAGCAACAGCCCTCCGTGGCGCTGGCCACTGGCTATGGCGTCGTGTGCCGGTTCCCGCAGGGCAGCGTGTTCTCCGAGAGCGGGTTTGACATTGACTGCTTTGGGCGTGCGCGGGATGGCGTTGCCCTCACGCAGTTCCAGTTGCAGCTGACGCCGTCTGCCGCCACCATCTCCTTTGGACAGGTCACCAGCACGGACATGTGGGGTGTTACCGCCCGCACAGTGAGTGGCAAGCTCGTCGTGACCGGCTCCCGCGTGAGCAGCACCGACACGGGCAGCACGGGCGATGAGTTTATGCACCTGTTCTCTGTGCGCGCCCGTGCCGGTACGACCACGTCCTCCTTCTCCGTGCGGGTCACCGTGCGCGTGCAGGAGATGCTGTCGCTCGCGGGCCGCGTTGTGCCGGTCAACTCCCTTGCCCATGTCACAGACGCGAACGTGACGCCCACCCAGCGATCTGCGACAACAACGGTGGTTGCCGTCGACACTGCTGGCGTGCTGGCGTGGATCGAGTCGCCCTTGCTGGTGAACACGGCGCCACTGGCTCCAACGCCCGACGCCCGCGTCTCCCGAAGCATGACGGTGCTTGCCATTAACACGGATGGCACCGTCCTTGCCTCCGACAGCCACTTCTGCGCCGGCGCCGGCGTGACCCAGGCAACGGGGTGCACGGAGGTGAGCTTTGGATCCACAGACCCAACTGACGGCCGAATTGAGGTGACGGTGCTCCTGGGCACCGCACAGGACACTGTGGCGCTCAACGTCATGCGCCTGGATTCCGTGCAGCTGGATGTGTCCAACACGCAGCTGCACTTTGTGACCACGGCCGCAGCGTTGGGCAACTGCACGGGCACCTTCCAGCAGGCGCGCGTGGGCATTCGCGCCGTGTTTGTCGCCGGCGTGCGCAGCGTGATTGTGGACGTGACGCACATGGCGCCCTGGCTTCTGCAAATGTCCAACGAGGACACGGTGCAGTTGGTGGGTGCACAGGCCGGTGAGGGCGAGTACGATGTTGACCTGCATCTCGCCCTGACGGGCGGCCGCGCCGTGCTTCAGGGCATGGCCCCCGGCACGGTACAGCTGCAACTCGTGTCCCCTTCCGTGCCAGGCCTGGTTTGGGACAGCGAGGACGTGACTGTGCTGGGGTCCTCCGGACACGTCGCCACACACGTGCGCACGCTGTTGGCAGTTGACGTGCAAGTGGGCGCAGCCGCACCCTCCCTGACGGCGTTTGGCAGCAACGGCCCCGACGTGTCAGTGGGCGTGAGCAGCAGCGTCAAGGCGTCGTTCTCCGAGCTGCTGCAGCCTGGGGTCGCCGTCTCTGTAATTGTTGATGCACAGGGCGGCGAGATCCTGGTGCTGTCCTCCGATGCAGGCCCGGTGCCAAACATTGCGCTGAACCGCGAGGCGAGCAACGCAGACGTGATGGACGTCGACGCAGTCATGCTCGCAGATGGCAGCGTGGTCATGGAGACCACTTCTGTCATTGGCGTTGTCAACACCAACCAACAAGGCCAGGATGTGCATGTGCGCACAACGGCGGCCATGTGTGGTGGAGCTGCAGTGCTGGAGGGAAGGGAGACGTTCCCGGTCCAGTTCCTCGACGTGGTCAGCGTGCAGTACAACGTGAGCACCAACGTCATTGCCATGGCTGGCTCTCCAGCCGTTGCCGCTGGTGTGAGCAGCCGCGTGCAGCTGCGCATTGTGGCCACACGTGAGGATGGCAGCACCCGCGATGTGACGCTTGATCCACGCGTCATCATTGACACGCAGACCTTTGGGCTCGGCGCCCTCGTCGTGGGCAGCTCCACGCAGGACGGCCGTCTGACCATCGAGGCCACGCGCGTGGTGCAGGGTGCTGCTGTTGTGGTGTCCTTTGAAGGCTTCAACCAGACCCTCCCCATCACCGTTGTTGAGGCTGTGCGCCTGGACCTGTCCGCGCATCCGTACCCGCCGTATCCCGGTTCAGAATCTGTCTCCGCCAGCCCGCTGGAGGCCATTGGCAGCACGGGGCGGTTCCAGGAGGCGCAGCTGCTGGCGTTGCTGTCTCTCTCCAACGGGGACCAGATTGATGTGACGGCGCACCCCGACATTGAGTTTGACATCTCGGTTCCCGAGCTGTACGTGGCCGAGACGCTGCTCCTCGCCACGGGAGAGACGCTGGGCAGCGTCACAGCCTCGTTTGCAGCTGGCGGCATTGTGTCCAACGTACTGCAGATGGAGGTGACGAGCACGCAGCGACAGGTGGCGCAGGTTGTCGTGGAGGCACCGGCCGCTCTGTCTGGGCTCATGGGCGATGTGTACGCCGGGGCCGTGCAGGTGACGCTGGTGCTGGACGACGGCACGCGCCTGCAGCACGGCTATCTCTTCAACGCAACCACGCAGCAGCCCAACTTTCCCGGCATGATCACGTTCTCCTCCAGCCAGGAGGAAGCCGTGGTTGTGGATGCGGCTACGGGCGCACTCACTATTGCAGGCAACACGAAGCGCGGCCCTGCCGTGATTACAGCCACCAGCGGGGGCGTGCAAGGGACAGCGAGCCTGCGCATCAACCTCGACGTGGCTGATCTGGACATGGACATGGGCAACCTGGCTGCCGCTGACGAGCCCATCCCGACACAGAGCACGAGCCAGGCGTTCTCCGTCCCGCTGGTGCTGCGTCTGCCAACCACGGTGGAATCTGTGGATGCACTGCAGTTTCAGCTCTCCTTTGACCCAGCTGTGTTGTCGGTGCTGTACGTGACTGCCGGTGACGGCTGGTCCAACAGCCGCCTGTTTGTTGACATTGATGCGAGCGCGGGCGTGATTCGCTCAGGCGGCATCTTCCCGCTGCTCAAGGGCGGTGCAGACGACCCCACGCTCGTGGAGATTGCCGTCATCACCTTTGAGGTGAAGAGCACGGCGCCCGCAGGATACACGGATCTGGCGGGCCGGTTTGACGTGTTCAGCAGCATGGGCTCCACCATCGTTGCTGCCGGCACTCCATTTGTTGCCGGTGATGTCAGCGTGCTCATTCAGAGCAGCAGCAGCAGCAGCAGTAGCAGCGCCGCTGCCGCCGCTACAGCCGACAACGGGCGTCGTCGTCGTCGTAACCTGCTATCGCTTGAGCCCTTTGATGTCACCAACCAAATTGTGTTTGGCGATGAGGGCAAGGAGGGTGTTGTCGATGTCGAAGCTGACGGTGTGCGTGGCGCAGCTCCGCGCAAGCGCCGCGATGTGCAGGTGAACGGGGACGTGAACCTTGATGGCGTGTTTGATTTGGCGGACGTGTTGTTCCTGTACGGGTACCTCGCTGGCTATAACACGGACGTGACCCCCGAGCAGCTGCTTGAGATGGACATCAACGGCGACAGCCAGATCAACACGGCCGATTTCCTCTACAGCCAAAAGGTGGTGGCCAACGAGTACCGCTTCCTGGAGGTGTCCAGGGTTGCCTCTGTCTCGCTCGCCACGGACTGCCGGTTTGTTGTGGAGGTGACGACGCGCGACGCTTCGGGAGCACCAGAGAGCGAGGACACCATTGTGTTTGTTGATCTGGAGAGCCCATCAGAGGGCTTCCACCAGCGCATGGTTGCGAGCGAGTTCCTGTTTGGCACGCCGGTCGAGGCCAAGCCCGCACCCTTCAACGGCACCATCGTGCGCGCAGCAGCCACGGGCAACGGCACGCATACGGTGGCATTTGACTCGAGCATTGTTGCCGGCGCAAAGGTTGGCGTGAGCTTCTTCGTGGCCACACTGGACAGCAACGGCAGCCCAAGCGCAGACCGCATTACGCCGCTGCTCACGGGCCCCTCGCTTGCCCCTTACAGCTACGTCGGCTATGCCGGTGTGGGCATCCCGATTCAAGGCGATGTGCTCGATGTGCAGTTTTCCGATTACAACGCAAAGGTGGCGCGCACGGTGGCGCAGACGACGTTTGAGTGCATCCCAGACCCGTGCATTGCGCTGCCGTGCGAGAACGGGGCCACGTGCACGCAGGACATGCGCGATTACACGTGTGAGTGCGCAGACGGCTACACGGGCGACAGGTGCGAGGTTGACATTGACGAATGCGACGGCCACGCGTGCCAGAACGGCGCCACGTGTGTTGATGAGGTTGGCACGTATTCGTGCAGGTGTGCTGCTGGCTTCACGGGTCCGCTGTGCGAGGTGAACGTTGACGATTGCGCCGGCAACCCTTGCCTGAACGGGGCGTCGTGCGTCGACCTCATTGACGGCTTCTCGTGCACGTGCGCGCTCGGGTTTGAGGGCGAGCGGTGTGAGCAGAACATCGACGACTGCGCGAGCGACCCGTGCCTGAACGGCGGCACGTGTGTTGACGCGCTGGCGTCGTACTCGTGCGAATGCCCCGACGGATTTGAGGGCGACCGCTGTGAGGTGAACGTGGACGAGTGCGCAGACAGCCCCTGCGTGAACGGCGACTGCCGGGACGGAAACAACGGCTTTGTGTGTGAGTGTGACGCAGGGTTTACGGGTGAGCTGTGCGACGTCGACATTGACGAGTGTGCGAGCCAGCCCTGCCAAAACAACGCCACCTGTGTCGATCACATCAACGCCTACACTTGCACGTGCCTGCCTGGGTTTTCTGGCGACGCATGTGAAGTCGGTGCGTTTCGTGTATGCGCGCGTGTGCGTACATGTGTTTGAATGCGGAATGTGTATGGGTGTGATTGTGTATGGGATTGTGTATGGGTGTGATTGTGTATGGGTGTGATTGTGTATGGGTGCGTGTGTGCGTGTGTCGTAATTTGCGTGTGTACATTCATCTGTGTGTGTGTGCGTGTAAGATGTGCACGTGGTTCTGCTCCCATGGTAACACCCCCTCACCACTCACTCACCACAGCCTCTCACCACAACCCCTCACCGTGTCCTTACCTCTCACTCACCACAACCTCTCACCATGTCCTCAACCCTCGTCGCACCCCTGCCGTGCTTCGTCGACACAGACTTCTGCGAGCAGCCCGAGAATGCGTGTGAGAACGGCGGCGTGTGCGTGCGCGAAGAGGAGCGCTGCGAGTGCGTTGACGGGTGGTCTGGTCGCCTGTGCACGATTCCCCCGCAGGAAATTGTGACCGTGACGCCACCGCCGGCATCCAAGTCGGGCAGCGGCAACTCTGTTGCGCAGCCCGCCATCTTTGCGGTGGTGGGAGTGATTGGGGTGCTGGCGTGTGTGGTGCTGGTGGTTGTTGTGCGACGGTACCGCGCATCGAGCTACGACACGGCGCTGGACAAGAGCACGCTCGACTGGGAGGGCATCGACGACGTGTACGACGATAGTCGCCATGCAGGCCGCAACACCTACGCGCAGAGCCCCATCGTGCCCCTTGACAGCGAGTACGAGAACGTGCCTGCAGAGTACAGGCAGGATTTCTCCGACTCATCGGTGATGCAGTCGAGGCTTGGCGCTGAGCTGGACACTATTGCCAGCCCCGTGAGCCTGAAGCAGCAGCAGGCCGCAGACAGACAGCCCGCGACGAGTGGCGAGATTATCCGCTCGCTGCAGGGGCAGCTGGAGGGCGCCGACGAGGCGTTCCAGGCGGTACCGCGCATCAAGCCGACGGCGACGTTTGAGACGGCCAAATCGGAGGAGAACCGCCCGCGCAACCGCTACAGCGACGTGCTGCCGTATGACGACACGCGCGTGAAGCTGTACAGCTCGGCAGAGACTGACTACATCAACGGCAACCACGTGTCGCTGCAGGCCGGGCGCCGGAACTACTGGTACGTGGCGACGCAGGGCCCCGTGAAGGGCACGCTGGGCGACTTTTGGCGCATGGTGTGGGAGCAGGGCTCTGAGATGATTGTGATGGTGGCGGCGGAGGTTGAGAACGGGCGGACCAAGTGCGAGCGGTACTGGCCGCGGGAGCAAGGTGACTACGACGCCATCCAGTACGGCGACTTTCGCGTGACGCTGCTGGGCGAGGTGGCCAACGAGGCATACGCCCTGCGCGGGCTGCGGGTGAAGAACATGATCACGGGGGAGAAGCGCTCGATCCGCCAGCTGCAGTACACGGCGTGGCCGGACAAGAGCGTCCCAGACGACTCCAACCAGTTTCTCAAGTTTGTGGACGAGGTGGCGGTGACGCGCGACCGCCTGCTCAACGGCAACACGGCGCAGCCCGCTTGGCCGACGATTGTGCACTGCAGCGCCGGTGTTGGGCGGTCTGGCGTCCTGGTGCTGGTTGAAGTTGCGCTGTCGCTGGCGGAGCAAGGGCTCCTGCCCCGCCTTTCCACAGTCTTGGAGGAGATGCGTGAGCAGCGCATGCTGCTGGTGCAGACGTTCCCCCAGTTCCAGTTCTGCCACAGGGCGATTATTGCTCACCTGCAGCAGCAACTGCAGCTGGAGGCGTAATTGCTTCAATTTGGAGGCGTGTGTGTGTACGTGTACATGTCACTATTTCGACAGGCATGCGTGCACGTGAGTGGGCAATGCGGAGTACATCATTTCTTTGTCCAATGTGCGAAACCCTGTGTGTTTGTGCTTGAGTGCGTGTCAATGCACTCTCTGTTGTTCACGTCTTACAACTTGTGTCTCTCATCCTGTGCTGACATGTGCGCAGGAGCGGGTTTGTTGTTGATTCATTGAGGTGGTGGTGCAAGTGAATAAACAAGAGTTTACCACAACACCAGGAAGCGTGCGCCCCTGATGGCGCTCGTCATGCTACACAGACACAGACACACAGACACACACACACACACACACACACAGACACACACACACACGCACACGCACGCACACACACACACACACACACACACACACGCACGCACACACACACAGGCAGACACAGACACACACGCACACAGACACACACACGTACGGAGAGGAAGAGAACAATAGAAAGCAGGCAAGCAAGGTTGGAAAAATGTACAGCACAATGTCCAGCAAGACACGTAAACGAGGGATTCGCTCAGTTACACACATGCACACGCGCACATCACGTTGTCGTGAACAAAGCAACCAGCAAGAACGCTGACAGAAGAGAGACAGATGCGGCGACAAACGTATCAACAGTTGATCTATCAGAAGGGAAAGAACGCTTGCAAAGTCGGGCTGGTGTTGATCCGAGACACAAACTCCTGCGTGTTGTATGTGTGTGTGCATGTGTATGTGTATGTGTGTGCGCGTGTTGTGTGGTGCGTGTTGCGTGTACATGTGTTGTGTGTGTGTGTGGACATGTGTGTGTAGTGTGAGCTTGAAAGGTGCAGGCAGGGATGAGCGTGTGTACTTGCAGCAAGCATGCACACGCGCTGATGATGATGCGGTGGTAACAGCACAACACGCACCTGGAGAGTGATTGTGTTTCGGTCCTGCCCAAGTTCTTCAAACACCTTTGTGGCAATGTCCTTGGCGCGCTTCTCACTCGGCGTATCCACCTGGTCATGGGCGGTCGTGTTCAGTGCACATCGGTGGTTCACGGGGTTGCATTTGTTGTGTGAGCGCTCGCGTTGAGGGTATGGGATTCAAACACAAGGTCAAATGCATGCCACATCACGTCATTGCTGATCGAGGCACGAGCAACAGCATGCAGTCAATGGTGCAGTCCATGAGAGCAGAACAACACGCTCACCTTTGCACCCGCCTTTGGTTTCGCGCTCGTGCTGTCGTTGTCGTCCTCAAAGATGTCCCCGCGACTCTTTCTGAACGATTTGACCATCTCCGCCCGCACGCGCGCATCCGCCTCCTTCTTCTCCTGATGTGTGTATGCGTGTGCGTGTGCGTTTGTTGGCGTGCGTGTGTTTTTGTTGGTGTGCGTGTGAGTGAAATGGAAGCTTGCGTGAGACGTATAGCATGGTTGAGAGTCAGTACAACACACACACACACACACACACACACACACACACACACACACACACACAATCGTACACATCTCGGCACGAACATATCCATACAAACAGGCGGGGCGAGAAGCTGCACCTCAGCTGCGCGTTCTGTCTTTCTGTGTTCTTCAGCGACGCGCTCGCCATCCTCCGTCTCATCATCCTGTCAACAGATGCAGGTATGCACGACGACGGTCGATAATACCGTGTGAGGGGGTTGT